CTAATCAAGGGGTAGAACCGGTCCTGAGGTACGCAGCCGGTGATGTTGTGGGGCTGTACGAACTTCCCCAGGTCGCCCGACACCCGCCCCAGGTAGGGGTTGCTACAGCCCGCCAGCGGCACCAGCGCCACGTCGGACTGGGTGGTCTCGACCCATCTGGGGAGGGGGACCCCCAGGGGAAACGGGGGAAATGATAAGGACATCATAAACACATCATGGCACGAGAGAAGGGGGGAGGGGTGGTGGTGAGGACTGAGGACACAAAGCTGACTGAACCAGGCAGGCAGTCACAAGCGCGCCCTCCTCACCCTGCCCCACTCCAACCTACCCCACCGCAACCCAGCTGTACGGCACCAGGCCGTACACCGCTCCGGATGCGGCTTGGTCGGCCTCCTTAGCGGCGGGGTCCCGTTGCACCCTCTTCCCTCCCCTCCTCTCTCTCCCCTCCCCTCTCCCCCTTTCCCCCCTCACTTAATGAAGTCGATGAGCCAATTCCCCTGAAACGCCGACACGGTGGAGTTGACGAAGCGGTTGTCCAGGGTGCGGCCCAGCGCCCGCAACATGTTGGCCTGCTGCTGCGGGCTGGAGGGGTCTACCCCGCGGAAGTACAGGAAGGCGGGGTTGCCAATCTGCTGCTGAAACTGAGGTAGGGTGCGGAGGGGCGTTGGGGGTGCGGAGGGGTGGTGGGGGTGCGGAGGGGTGGTGGGGGTGCGGAGGGGTGTTGGAAGAGAAGGACGAGAAAAAGAGGACGTTGAAATGGAGGCAGCGGTTTCATGGGGAGGGAGGTGAGGGAAGTAGCTAGGTAGCTAGGTATGCAGGTGGTACGTGGTGGGGTGGGGAGTCCGGGGCGATGAGGGGGAGGGTGTCAGTGGGAGGGGGGATGGAGTCGCCTCGCGGCCACCACTGGCACAGGATCCCTCCCTTACAGTCCCCATGACCCGGCCCCGGGGGCCCCCGGTCGCAGCGATCAACACATGACGGCGCACACAGGGGCCGACTTGCATATTGGCAGCCGTCCTCAACCTGCGGGTACTACGGTGCAACGCGACGGGACGGGGGGGCCCGCTCTGAACAACAGCCCGCCTAGTCGTACATAAGCATCACCAAATGGGGCCTGGATCTAAAAACAATATATTACCCCAGATTCTCCGAGTTCTCCCCACCGCCGTACATCGCTGTGCAATCATCCAGCCACCCCTTTTCTACCCCCCCCCCATTCCCCATTCCCCCTCCCCCCCCTCCCCTTCGGTCATTTCACTCCAATCCTCCTCCCACTCCCGCGCTTCTTAGAAACATTCCCCCTTCCCTTCCTCCCCCCGCGTCACACACACCTCCCTCCTCCCCGCCCTCACCGTATCCTTGGTGATGGCCACGTAGTCCTGAAGGTAGCTGTCGTCAGGCGCCAGCTCGCTCAGCGGCTGCCCCTCCTTCAGTCGCGGGATACCCACTCCGCACAGCACGGCCCAACCGATGAACACAGCGAGCACCAGCACCTTGACGTACCACTTGGCCAGCAGAGGCGCGTAGTAGCGACCAAACAGCAGCTTCAAGAGGTTGGGGTCGGAGGTGGTGGTGCTGGGACTGGCGCCAGCAGCGGCGGCGTGTAAGGCAAGGTCCTGCACGGAGGCGGGTCGTTGCAGGGGAAAGGAGGCGGCAGCGGCGGCTGTCTTGTCTCGGATTGGGTCGCGGGGTGCGGCAGCCAGTCAGGCGGTGTGTGGGGTGGCCCGGCGGGGGTTGGGTGGGGAGTTGTGGTGGAGGGGGACAGCGGCGGCGGCAGCGGCGGCGGCCCGTACGGAGATGCGGACCGGCCTGTCCTCTCCCGACATCTTCACGTCTGCCGGTAGGTCCCCCACCCTCCCAAGACACACGTGCCTTGCCCTCCGCTTCCTCCGCAGGTCATGCGACCGCCTAATAAAAAAATAAAAAATGATTTGAAAAAATAGCACATAAAATTTATATTGAAATAAGGTGAACTGGTGGTCCGCCCTCCTTGCCCTCTTGACCCCCGAGCCCCTAGGCTCCTGGCCTTATCGCACAACGACCGGAGGGCCTCCCCCCACCTTCCTAAGCTCCATAAGGCCCCCCTTGAGATCCCCGCCTCTCCTCCGCACTCACCGTCTGTCGAGTCCCAGCTGGGTCAGCGGGCCCCCCGCCGCCCTCCGCGGCCACCGCCAGCGGAGGCCCCCCAGCCACCCCGCCGGCACGGGCCGGTGGAACCTGCTGCTGCGGCGGGGGATACACCCATGGCCCTGCCGCTGTTTGGGCGGTTGGCGCCGAAACCACCACGGCCATTACGACTTCCTGTTGATGCTGCTGTGCGCTCGTTTTTGCACCGGACGTGTTGTTGTTGTTGTTGTTGTTGGTGGTGGTGGTGGTGGAATCCTCCGCGTTTCGTGAGTCTTCCCAGCAGTACAGTGCGGTAGCCGCGGAGGGCAGGGGGGGGCCCCCGCTGGTGACGCAGCAGCAGCAGTCCAGGCGGTTGGCGGAGATGCGGCGTTCGGTGAGCACAAAGACCCCCGTGAAGAAGGTCAGCTAAGGGGGGGGTGGACGCGGGGGTATAAAGGGGGGTGGGACGTGGGTGTGGTCGGGTGATGGGTTGTGTGGTCGGGTGATGGGTTGTGTGGTCGGGTGATGGGAGATCAGTTGATCCGCAGGATGGGGACATAGGACCTGACAGGTGGCAGGTGGGCTCCTGATGTTGATTTTGATGTTGTTGCTGTTGGTGGTGGTGGTGGTGGTGGTGGTGGTGGTGGTGATTGTGGTCCTCCTGGTCAGGGCCGGGGCACGCACCCCTTTCAGGAAAGGGATCTCGCACGGCATCCAACCCAGTTTCCACTACCACCCACCGTGGCTATGAGGATGCACACCACCCCCAGGGCGGCGTACGCACTGAACCACTGCACGGCGGGCAGCTCGCTGACGGCACCCAGGGCGAAGGCCACGGCGGAGGCGAGTAGAGTCACAATAACACTGCTGCCCGCGGAGGACAGCAGGCTCCGGAACCGGAACTCCAGGGAACCGCCGCCGCCGCCAGACGGCCCCCCCGCCGCTGCCGCCGCCACGGCACCGTCGTACGCTTTGACCAGGATGAACATGCAGTCCACTGAAAGGCCTAGGAGGACGTATGGCAAGGTCTAACGGGGTTCCGGATTGAGACCGGGGAGAGGGAGGGGGAGATAATCATGGAATGCAAATACAACAAACATAACTGCTAACCTCCAAATACCCCCTCCCAAGAGAGGGTTGGGGGGTATTTACACATAGCGAAACACCACACCACACCACACCACACCATACCACACCACACCACACCACACCGCGCCAGCATCAAGCCAAGAGAGAACTGTCCGGGCAACACGCACCATGCACGCGGTGCACCGCCCCAGATCCAGGTTCAGATTGAGGTTCAAGTTGTGGCGGCGATGGTCCCCTGGGTGGTGCTCGGGACATCCCCCCGGAGGAGCCACATACATACATACATACGCCATCACAACCCTCCCCCGGCCCCCCTGGCCCCCCCACCTGGGACAGAGTATTAAAAGGGCAGCCGAAGAGCAGCGACAAGCCGTACCCGGCAATCATGGCAAGTACGGAACTGACCACCCCCAGCAGCGCGAGGGAGCTGCGTGTGCCCACGAGGTGACACCTGAGGAACAGGAGAGGTGGAGGAGGAGGGCACACATCGGGGGGAGGAGGTTAAGGAGGGGGGTAGCGGGGAAAGGAGGTTTAGGAAGGGAGATAAGAGGAGCTAGTGGGGAGGGGGAGATGAGTGGGTTACATAGAGCGGGGGGGAGCTGGCGGGAGTAACAGAAGTCACAAAAATCAGTTGCGTGTACGGCAAGTGTACGGACAGGAGGGGGCGTGGGGGTTATGCTGGAAGGCCGAGCAGGTGCGGACATGTGTGTGCGGCATAGCGGCATAGTACAGTACAGTACAGTATAGTACAGTACAGTACAGTATAACACAGTTCAATACAGGCGGGAAGGCGGAGTAATGATGTAGGTGCACCCCTGGACCAACATTCTCAACCCCACCAATGCCCTGCACACTCCCCACCTCCCCACCTGGACAAACCGACAACCGCCACCAGAATGAATAAGGCAACAGAAATAATGATGAGGTACAAGTCGTTGGTCACGGACCGACCAATCTCGTCGCTAACACTGCTGCCGAAGATGTACGCCAGGGACGTGTACTGCGCCTTGCTCGTCCAGTCCTCCAGGATGTCAAGGAACTTCTCGTAAAATTTGTCCTCCACGTCACTGTCCAGGCTGCTCCGCAGGCTGTACGGCAGGGATACAGCCTCCGCAGATGACAAGTAGAGTGGCGGTCGGCCCGGTGCCGGGCTGGACAGCGGGCTCAGCACGAGGCCGCCGAAGATGGAGAGTGTGGACACCGCCCTGTGGCGTGGCGGGGGTGGATAGGAGGTGGAGGGGCGGGTGGAGTGGGTGGGTGGGAGAGGGGGATTTGGGGGATTTGCAGGTTGGGGGTTGTAACGGGGAGGTGGAGGTAGTTGGAGGAGTTTGGGGAGGGCAGTATGCGGCGCATCGAGTACTGGTCAGGTATATCGGTTTGAGGATAAATGGTCCGGTGGTTGGTGGTTGGTTGGTCCGGTGGTTGGTGGTTGACTAATGCTATCAAGCAAATGCATGCCATTTCAGGATGGCCTCTAACGCTTTGGTCTTAGTAAGATGTTATTACTCAGTGCGGTCATGCAGAAAGACAGATGGGCAGACAGGCAAACTTCCCCCTTCTGCTCCCGGCGCCACCCCACCCCAATCTGTCAAGAGTTCTTACGTTTCGTCCGGGAACTTCGCTTGGTTGACCGCCTGGATGAGTGCGTTGCGGTTACCGACAGTTGGGTCGGTTGACGAGCCGTTGACGTGCGTTAAGTACTCGGTGAAGTTCATGCTCCACAAATTTAAGGGCCTGAGGGACCCGTGGGGCAGGGTGGGGACAGGGGGAAAAGACGAACCACGAGCGAGTGAACCTGATGCCAAGGAAAGACTGCTGCGTCATATGTAAAGAAAAACAGAACTGACCAGTCGGCGGTTGTGAAGAAGCCGTCCTCGGGATGATGTAGTGATGACGACAGCGGAAAACTACCTACCTAGCCGCCAAGACTAAAATAAGAGCAGAAGAAGAGCAGTAGACCCAAGCCATAAGGTAGGTGTAAAGGCAGCGAAAAGCTAATGAAAAGTGAAGTGAGAAGAGAAAGGGATGACGTGAGCTGGAATAAAGGGACAAAAGGGGGTTACGTGAGTCACACAATGCCGAATGCCGAAGTAGGCGGGCATGGAGTATCGTGAAAGGGGGATGGGAAGGGAGGGATGAGGAGGGGGCTGATGGTATTGTTGTATGAGAATGTGTGACTCTGTGTGACTCTGTTTATGGTGTGTCCGGGTACAGGTAGGTTAATCCGTTGCCACTGGCCTGGCTGTCCCCACTACCACTACCCTCCCGGAGGTTTCGGGACACCTTCGGGCATACATACTTGTCATCCATATGGGGCCGTATGCTCTTACAGGTGGTTAGATAGGCACATCGACAGGTAGAGCACACACTGCCTACTGCTACTGCTAGCCTGGGGGCAATGCAGCGATCTGACCCCGAGCTTTCCTCATCTGCCTTACCTCTGAGGCCCTTTTAGGCGTTATACACCTACCTACCTACCTACCTACCCACCTACCTACCTACCTACCTACGTAGGTCAGGCACTACTGGTAACGCACACGCTGATGCCCCTGGAAGTTCCGGGATCGAGATTGTCAGGGTCGAAAGCCCTTCCGATGGCGGAATGTAGGAGTGCCCCTAGTCGATGGACGGTGGTGACTTGGAATAAAGACTTGCCAACTGATCCGGACGCCGGTGGTGGTGGGTTCTGGACCTGAGCGATCTACTGAGAAGTTATCTGCGTTCCTTTTAAGTGACTGGGATCAGTTCAGCCAAGGGGGTGATCCGCGTGTGTTCCAAGGTAAAGGGGTTTCGCTTTGCAGGTATCATAACTGGATGGGCTCCCCTTCACCAGCAAGAGAGGGCTCCGATCCCACAGGCTATTTGCGTGTTTATTTGCCGGCCAACCAGTTGCGTATGGTTGCCAAATTCCGTCTTTGTTGTTGGCCTTTGGAGGTCAACAAAGGACACCATAGGCCGAGAGAGTGCCGTACGTGTCAGGTCTGTACGTCGGGTAAGGTTGAGGATGAATACCATGTGCTCATGGAGTGTGAGGCGTATACTGAGTTGCGTAATAGGTTTCTGATTAACGTTGAAGATACTGATATGCGCAAGGTATTTCTTAATACCAATCCGAGGAAAATCGCTACTTTCCTTACTGAGGTTTTTGATGAGCGTCAACAGCGTGCTCTGGAGCCTCACGGCTCGTGAGGGCACCCGCCGCGTCGGCGGCGGAAATACTGTAACCACAATACAATACAATACAAGGGTGACTAGATGAGGGTGCCCCGAAATACCGGGGAAGGCAGGGTTTCACCGGGTAGCGGCCACGGGTGAAGATATAATCCCCTGTCCCACACATCAGACATACAGTGAGCCTCTTCTCAAGGAGTGGTTCGAGCCGCGCACCCTGTGTATTTGCAGTTGCCGCCGAAGTCCGTTTCGCACATGTCTGTCCATTTGTATGTACGACCACCGGCTGTCACGGTGATGGCCCGTACGGCAGCATCCACCTGGAACAACTCCCAAAACACCTTGATGATAAGGGGTTGTGAGGGAAGGCGAGTGGGAAGGGAGGACGGCATGTAAATAACATATTACGACAACAAAGAGAACTAAACAAAACATAATGATAATATATTCATGATGATGATGATGATAATCAATGCGTCGAATGGGGGACTGAGTGACGAGTGAGGGAAGGCCTCGGAGAGTCGCTTGTAGGTGCCAACAACACAGTCAAACAGTGCTCACTCATGCACGGGTCACCGGCCCTCGCATCAAGAGTGCACCAAGACCGTGCTACGGAAGTGGACGGGATTGTGTGCCGTGTGTGTGCACGCACGTATGTATGTATGTCTGTATGTGTGTCTGTATGTGTGTCTGTATGTGTGTCTGTGTGTCTGTATGTGTATCTGTATGTGTGTCTGTATGTGTGTCTGTATGTGTGTCTGTATGTGTGTCTGTATGTATACATGTATGTACGTATGTACCCACAACCAGGTTCCATTACATCAAGGGTGCGCTGTCATTTTCCCCTCCTTAACCCCCGGTCTAACATACGCCGGTGCGGCAGGGGGGCCACAAGGCGCCGGATGGGATCTTCCGGGTCCAGGTCCGGGGACACGAGCAAGCTCACCGATAGCTGCAGTGCGTTGCTGCCGTACTGCGACTTGCGGTTGGACAAAACAGAGCCCAGCACCTGTAAAAAGATGGAGGGTGGTAGTGCGTGCAGTGGCGCATATCGGATATGAAGGCTGCCATCATTGGTAAGATGGACGATGGGGCATGTGCATCTACACGTCGTCTGCACGGCGCTAGAGAACTGTTCGTCAAATAGCGGAGGTATGGCGTACAACACGGTTGGATATGGGGAGTTGGAGGTAGTTGGACAAGCTCCAGCATCGCCCTACCTGCGCATATCCGCCCCCACTGACATAGTTTTCCGAGATCCAATCTCCGTCCTTCATGGCTTGCGAATCTTGCGGCACCCTACATGGCGATAGTTCGGAGGTGCGATTTCTTATCGATGGGCAAGGAAAGGGAAAGCGGGACGGGAAATGCGCGAGCATACCATAGCTTGTCCGCCGCGCTTTCTATGCTGAAGCGAGCCCAACCGGCTCCGGCTGCTGCCGTAGCCAGGATGCTGAGAACGACAACCAAGACTGGTCGACGGGCAACGAAAGCCCCTACTGCACCCGTTGTTCTGTTAAGCTTTCTTTGTACAGCCATCACTGCTCTTTCATAGACATTGGTGCAACGTGTTGCACAGGCGGGACAGCGAAACCCTTTGCCGTCCGCCATCTTCGGACTACCGGAAATCCTTGCTCCTTAATTCAAGACTTACTCTAAAAACATAGTCTTCTCTAAAATAAAATACTTTGTGTAGAAGTAAGGAGTCTGTGACCAACACTGATTATGCATGGCATAATCTCGTATCCAATTAGGCAGCTACCGAAGATGGTTGAAGGTCAGATGAGGCACTATGACCTGATACGGAAATAGAACTTTATGCATATAATTGCTGCATAAGCGCATCTTGCCCAACATGCCATTGGTACTCAAGTGCTCATTCTCTCGTCTGGCGTCAACCATTCTCACCGTTGCTGAGCAAGGCAACGCTTTAAACAAAGCCTAGAGATCGGCATGCCGTGAGCAGCTCTGTGCATTATAGCATCGGCCAGCGATATTGTCTGGCGTATTACGCTCTGACGCACTCTGTGCCGCAGCCCGTCGGGGTCATCTCATTTCCCGTGCGTCCTTAACTGAATTAAACCAATCTTCGTGAGATCAACAAAACTTTTCTTTACTTTGTCTCCAGATTAAGGCGCTTCATGAGCGTTCGGGTTCGTTTGAAAGCTTGTAACGATCCAACTCTCCACTGCGAAGTTCCTTGATAGATGCCAGAACTCCAAAGATCGAATATGATATTATTAAAACTAGGGAAAAATTTGCGTAAGTAGTACTTTTGTTGTTGCTCAGCAGGTGCAGCGGCGCCTGTCGTTTACGGTTGAGAAACAGCCTCACCGATTAATGACAGATGATTTGGGTGTTTCTTGCGCATAAGAAGTATAGTTGCTGAAATTATAAATGAGACAGCACAAAATTTAGGTTGGTTACATTCGCATAGCTACACTCATATGTGTAGCACAACTGACTGGCTAATTTGTTTGGCTCGCGCGGGTCCCACGGGAGGCCATGAGGGTATAGCACTGCACGCTTTTGTGTAGGGCCCAGGGTACTCCCCTTGCATCCCGCTTTATGTGTTTTGAATACATAACTGCTTAGCTCTCGGACTGTGGATGGTGTGTGGTCTCTATCTGTCTTTCGAACTTATGACTGCTTAACTTTTGCCCTGCGAACCATATGGCTGTTAATAGATTTTGGTTTGGGAGAAGGCAACTAGGACAGGTTGTGTGATGATTTGGGCATGCGGCCAGCTGTGCTGAAATGTTGGAACGGCCTCGTTTTTGCTAGCGACAGCGACACAAGGGGTGCTGTCCAAGCATCATGTAATGAGCTCAGGCTGGCTGGTGAGGCCGTTTGAGGCCGTTTTGGCTAAGGAGAGTGCACGATGTCTGGGTTCAATGTATGAAGCTAAAGCAACTCTGCCTAAGATTGGTAAAATATTATTTATTATATAGCCGAAATCCAAACATAGGCCTCATAGGTGTTCGGTCCAGAGGTCGGCAAACCCTGAATAACTGTCACGGGACTGGTGCCAGGGTCGAATAACTTTATGGAAACGTTTTTTGCTAAAAGCCGAGAGAAGAGTGTCTGCGGGCCGATTTACCAAACTTACTACGTTACACCATCGCTGTTAAAGCCACAGTTGTCTTGTTGCGCCCAATTATGGAAGGTTTGGTAAGCTAATGATGAAGTTTATAGCTTCAAAACTGCGCAAACCTGCCTGCTGGGGGGAATTTCTGCACCCTGCCGTACGGCTGCCGTACCCGTGATGAAGAATAGAGTTGAATTTCTGCAACGGGTACAACGGAAGGACCCGTGGTACCCGTGGCGTTTGCCGACCTCTGGTTCGGACTGCAGGTGTTCTGTACTCCGAAAGTTCCGGTGAGACTCGATATGTCGAGAGACATGGGATTAGCTAACTGATTAGTAGAACTCCGCCCGGAGACCTGAGATTGACAGGCAGTCATACTGAGCCTGAGACCTTGGATTGGCCGACAGGCAGGTAGACGAGCGTGTGTTGCAAACTATTTAGGTCTTAAACCCTGCAAAATCTTAAAGCAACCTGTGAATTTCTTAAAGCAATCATCATCATTTCTCAGACAGACTAATACGGTGAGCCTGGCGCAAGGGTGGGCGGTGGTGGCCACCTTATCACCCTGCCCCCCTCCTTGTTTGGGGGAGGGGGAAGGGAAGGCCGGAAAGGGAGGAGGCTGTTGTAGCGCGATAGATAGTTGCACAGTAATGATAAGTTCATTAACAAATCTAGCAAGCCTGATTACGAAGAAGATATCCTTTGCAACGGATATGGCGGTCAAAGGATTATTTGTAAGAAACACCGGAACTGAACATCAAGGATCTGTACGACAGTTATTCCTGAATTCCACGAACTGCTACTGAAATCGTCTATGCTCACAGGACGAGTTGTTTGTCTTAGAATTTATACTCTACTTACGTTCGGAGCGCGCGGTTGGATACCGTGGCCGGGGCAGTGCCGGCCTGAGACAGGCTTCAAGTGTCTATTGGCATTATTCCACAAAGCTACAACAAAGGCCCAGCCTGGCAGCTCCCCGCACTCCCTCCCTCCCTCCCAGCACTTCTTGGGACTTGGCACTCCACTTCAGTTGCGTCAGTTACATCTTGTTACGCACCCTGTTGGTGCATTCTTTGCCGTGACATGCTCCCCCTTTTTGGAAGTAGTCTGGTACTGCAGGGATAACGGACTGCCAACCGCCTACAGTTGAACACCACTCAGGTCTCCTGATATTCTTCATGCTGCCAACCCAACCCAACCCAACCGCCAGGACAGCATGGCTGCCTCACTCTTTCCACGTCGTGATCAGTTGCGTTGCCATCAAGCCAAACGAACAACTAACCAACCAAAGGGCCCAACAGCAGCCCCGCCTAGATATGCCATAATACTCTATAGCCTCAAAAGACTCGAGCTGCTCCTATCGACCTTGCACCAGGACGAGCCGTATCAAAATGACCACAGGCCACCAGGTCGGTGTCCAAAGTCCACCTCTTCCGGCGCCTGCATCATACCCATGCCCCTCGGTTTTTCATCGGTACGCATGGACCATCCATCCCCCCGCTACCGCTACAGAGGGCGACTGATTAACAGATTCCATGCTGCACGCGGCACTCGTATGTCCACTAACCAGCCACCACTGCAGCACCAACTCCAGCACCACCATCGCTCAGCAAACCACGGTGAGCTGAAAGGCCTTCTTCAGCCGTCCCCCCCACCCTGCTAGTTGCTCGAGGTCAGAGGTTGCCGCCGGGCATCCATGTCCGCGATCAGCTGCGCCACCCGCCGCTTGAGCTGCTCCCGCAGCGCTGGCCTGTAGCCAAGCAGGAACAGCGCCTCGAACCACACGAAGAGCGGCGCCAGGGCGAAGGCCTGAACACATACACACAAAGGTTTGCGATGAACCCATCCAGGGGCCGTGCGGCAGCAGGCATTGATTTATTTGGTGCATGTCCTGAAGAGGAGGAGGGACGACAAGAGGAGGGCAATTTGGACGATGCTGCCGGCCGAGGCCCTCGAAGACCCGACCTGGACGGAACCTATTGAAGAGGCCTTTTGACAGTTGTGGCGAGGCACCATACCGTGGCGGATACCACCAACAAAAACCCACTAACAGCAGCAATGCCTCCGTCCCGGCCTAATCATTATGGCGCCTGCAGGATACCATTGTCAATGGCCAAACATCACTGGCGCTCCTTCGTTATGCGGTCCCCCTCCGCGACCCTAAGACAATCAGCATGGCCCTCCCCCCTAAGATGACCACCTGCATCCCCCTCTATTCCCGCCCCTCTATCTGCATCTCCTACTCACAAAGAAAAGGACAGGCGGCGTGAGCCTGACCCGTCCAAACCTCTCAGCTTGCCTCACCGAGCTTGCTGCCAGGCCCACCTGGGCTCTGTGCTGCCCCAGTTGGAAGCAAGAGCACCCAGTTGCGTCGCTAACCCAGGCTAGCCTCACCTGCACCAAGCTATCCATCAGTGCCGGCTTGCGCCGCTCCAGAACCGCATGCCCCGGATGTATCTGCATGTACCACCCGAGCACGTGAACACTCAGCGCCCACGCCCACGCCCGGGGAATGGCAGCGGTGAAGGCTGTGGCTGTCCAGGCCAGCGGCAGCCCCACCACCAGCGCCCAGGTGGTCCCCGCGAAAAGGTCCAGCGCCAGGTAGAAGGCGCTGTAGGCGGCCACGAGCAGAAAGGCTGGGTTGGTGGGCTGAAGTGCGGCGGCCCAGGCAGGGCCCAGCCAAGTGGGAGGCGCCAAAGCGGGTACGGGCAGCAGCGGCCCAGCCGCACTTAGCCACACGAAGCAAGACCATAATATAGCTGGCACGCAGAAGAAGTGGATGAGCTGGTTGAGGGGATGGTTGTGGTAGGAGCCGTAGAAGGCTAGCTGCTCGGGAAGGTCCAGGGAGAGCCCCCCCATGGTTATGCTAAGAGATGGTGACCCTTGTGGCGCTAGTGGTGGTGGTAGGGTTGTTGTTGGTGGTGTAGAGGTTTAGATTTTGAGGATTCTGGGGTGATCTTGGTGTTGGCGGGGCTCCAGGGCGTGCGTGTTGCTCCTGATCTGATCGGGGTGCGGCCTGTGTCGGGAAGGCAACTGGGGCTGGAGAGAAGCAGCGGGTGCAGCGACAGTGCCAAGCAACTGAACGAAGGCCGAAGACGATAAATACAGTTACCTAGAGTTAACCTAAAACATTGACTACACATCGTGTGGATACTCGTTGCGGAAGAAACACACTGTTTGACACCGCGCTATCGTATCTTTGACAAGAACGGGGATGCACATATTACGTGGTTCTCCTAGCGTAGTCCTGCTAGCTTTCGTGTGCATGCCCGATACGTGCCTGTCAGTTGGAAAGCCGGTCCTCAAGCCCTTGAAGCATGAGCACCTGCAGTTGCTTATTGTTACTGTGTAGTTGATATAACTAAAATTAGCCTTTACTTTATGATGGCTGTAACATCCGAAACCGATCTGACAAAACTGCTTGTAACTGTTAACAGCTTCGGAGCTAGCTAAAGGATATCGTCGGGGGCCTGATTATCTGAAAGTGTACTGTTCAGAAGAAATTGTCAACGCTCATAGGCTTGCGCTAAATTGTCTTCCACTGCTGACTCATTCGTCAGTGATAATGGTTTAGATACGGCATCGTCTGTACCTCCAGTCAAGAGATTGCTGCGACAGTCTGCAAAACACTTAAGCCCCACGCGTGCTCTTACCTATCGCGGTGTCGCCATCGCAATGGCGTGTTCATGTTTGTTGCAGCAACTGGCGCATAAGATACCGTTTTCGTGTCGTAAGCATGCCACGCTTTGCTCCTCAAAGATCAACGCGTCTTGGGTAAAGCTGATGGCTTGTAGGCGCTGGTCAACTGCCCGCGTGTCATTAGGAAATCCAATGAGGCAATTGTGGGCATCAGACAAAAACCACTGCGTGGACGAAGCCGGTGTGTTCCTGGCTAACCGCATGCGTGTCGTCGATTAACAACTATGCAGCTAGAAATAGAGCAGCGTTGGGGTAGCTCGCGCATGCAAGGACTCTGCTTATGCCGGTGAAGCCATTTGCCTCCAGCCAGGGGTGTATGTCGTTAGGGTACTGACCTCAAATTGACCGACAGTGACCCAACTGTGCGCAGTTCGTCATCACCAGCAGCACCACAGTGACGTGATCCCCCTTCTGGCTGCCTTATCGGGGCCCTACAGCGCTTGAATTACACGGCGCTCCGCCCTAACACCTGACGCATGTGTACATACAAAAGCATGCATGACCAGCTGAGCCACAGGGTGGCACCCCAGCAACGCGTCCTCACACCCCTGAACATGGATACCTGGTTCTAGCTGCTGGCCGGGCGCTAATCGGGCCGCCGACATACGGCCCTCAGGAGCAGGAGATGAGTGCTGAATCAGGGGCCTGGTGCTGACTTGGGGTAGGCGCGTGCGGATGGCTGCCTGATTCGGGGAGGGAGAGGGCAACGCTGGATCTTCCGGCGCCGAACCGTTTCTTCTTGGGGTGTAGCCCTTGCTGCGGAAGCTGACGCCCTTTCGCTCTGAAGCCTTTCTCTCCTGTGTCGATGGCCGCGGCCCGCATGGAGCGGATGGAGCTGCTGGGTGTGTCGATGGCGCCCAAGTGCGATGAGACGAGGTGAGGGCGAGGGTGACGGATGGATGCATCAGAGTTGGAGTCAACCCGGTGGTAAATGGGGGAATTTAGGGTTTCGTAAGTGTGGTGAAGGCCGGCATTGGCGGGTGATTGGCGGATTTGCGATAGATGTCACTTGCGAGCTGGGTACGTGCGGATGTACGCTGTTGTCGCCTTACGACAGTGCTATTGCTCAGGGGACCAGGGAGACCCTCGCGGCGATCGGGGTAGCGGGACGCATGCATGCATGGAGACGAGGGCAACACACCACCTGTAGGCCGGACGGCTTCATTCTGGCGGTTACGAAAGCGGTCGTGAAGGCGAGGCCGTTAGGAAGAGTCATCGTGGAGTCCGGACATGACGGGTGAGCAATGGGGCGAGCAAATGCGGTCATCTATGAGGCTATGTGAATTTCGGATGTCCTGTCTCCTGTGTTTGGTCGGGGAGACAGGTCATTCAGGCGTTTGGTCCCAGTGTGTACATGGAAAAAAGATGCTCATTGCGAGCCTCATTGCGGTGACATGCAAATCTTTCTGCAGGCATAGGCGTCCATTGATGTTTACGGTGCGTGGTTCCGCGTGATTGCGTGAAGTAGAGGGGGTACAGCTTCAACCGTGGCCATTAGCACTCCCTACCTTCCCCGATGTTTCGGGGTGTGGGTACTTTAACTTCGACGCGCAGTTGGAGTTGCTTCAGTTGTATTGCGGCTCTGGATGGCCGCCGTAACTGTACTGATGCTCACTGCTCGCAAGGCATCAGGCTTTGATGCGGGATGCGGTTGGACTGATGGGTTACAATATGTGTGCTCAACAGGATTTCACCCATGGGCCTTGTTGCTGGAGAGTATAATAGCTGCGCTTGAAAGCTATTCTACCACTAGTAGGGAGAGCAGAACTTTAGCTTCTTCATTTGGAGAAATGCGTTAAGTGTTGGGACGCATGAGTATCGTGCGTGGTGTTGCAAGGGTCTCGCGGGGCATTAACTGTTGTTGCGGTGAAACTCACCGTCATTAAGGCTTTGCGGGTAATTCTTTCTATGATTTATGGTATAGCTTCATCTTTACGAGAGGTGTTTGTGCGCATGGGTGCCGTTTGCGTAGACGTACACTCCCGGCGTTGTTCCAAGTTATAGTTCCGCACAACGTCCCTGGGCATGGTACAATCGCCTTTCATACGTTATATCACCATGTTGTAATTGGGTTGCAAAATATAGAAGCTGAGATACCGGCTGTAGGCCACAATGCCGCCCCAGAACAGTTTCACCATAAAGCAGAATACACCAGAAGCCGATAAGCTAGAGCGCCGTGTGCACGCAGAGTTGAAGGAGATATGGGATCCATCAGCGGATGCCACCGTGGCCAAATACTTGACGGCCATGCTTACAAAGGGCTATGACCGCAAGAAGATACATTCGCAGCTCAAGGCTATTTTGCAGGAGCCAGTTACTGTGCAGCTACTCGATTGGTACGTTATTGTGGGATACAAACTGCACAGGCCTTGCCTCGCGCAATCTGTTCGAGCGGAACCATTATGCCTCACCGCAGGCTTTACAAGCATCTTCGCCTTCATGGCAGTGAGTACCAAAGCAAGGAAAACCCAGCCAGGTCAGCCACCGCAAGAACGATCGTGACGCAGAGCTTGTGGCATTCTTGGTCACCCCCGCTTGGCGTGCAATAGCAGCGGTCTGAATGTAATTCATATCCACGCAGCTCCAAGCAAGCTCCAAAGCCGCTCCCAAGTGTCGCCAAAGTGGTGCCGATGGAGGAGGTAAGCCTGAGGGCTTGCTTCTCCGTGTGGGGAATTTTGCTTCTAATTATATTTATCGGATCATTTAATATTTCTTAGGTTGAGCTGAGACTTGAAGACCTTGAAGCCCAGCAACTTGAGGGTTCGGACTTGGAAGATGATGACACAGCCGCAGCCCCTGCAAGCATTGCCGAGGAATCAGCCGGAAGGGGGACTCGGTTTGATGCCGTTCAGTCGCATGAGCACGATCGTGGGGACACTGGCCGGGATGGGTCTTCCGAGCCGGCTGGGCAAGCTGCGCAGGTTACCCACGCCGGCAAAGTTACGGGGGTCGATGCACAACTATCAGAGAAGCCTGAGCGCAGCAGGCGTCGGCAACGTGAGCCAATACCGATACCTAACTTCTCGGAACGCCCGGAACGCCCGCGTTCGAGAGCGTCTGATACCATCCCGTCTCCAGGGCAGCCCCTGGGGACCCACCGCATCTCCACAGCTGGTGCCAGCTCCCAGGCCGCTGCAACTCCAGGGGAGCTACGGCATCCAAGCGAAACGCAGCTCCCAAAGCAGCAGCAGCGGCAAGTGGAGGAACAGCAGCAAGCGAAAGAGCAGCAGGAACAATTCTCTGCTGCAGCGGAGCGCCGGCGCCTTAAGTCCTCCGTTGTTCTGGATTGGGAGTCCTGGCAGAAGCAAAAGCAGCCAGCCGATGAGCAGCGTGCCACTAAGTCCTCCGCGCCGGCAGGGAATTTGGCAGCACCAGAGCGGGCCCCAATCATGCCTCACTCGAATCAGGACACAGCCGACCACCCGTTGCGCATTCCGGCCAGCCACCGTGGGCGTGAAGATGGCCGGGAGCGAGAGCGGGATCGGGGACGAGAGCGGGAGGGCGAACGGGGTGGGGGCCCGGGTAGGCGCAGGCATGAATCCGAGGCTGAGAGGCCGGCATCACGGCACCGAGACGGCGACGGGGACACATCAGCGCTGCGAGGGCATGAACGGGAAAGCGACGGCGTTCGGCAGAAGGGTGGGGCTCCGGCGCACCGGTCACGATCTCGCTCGCGTTCGCGTTCACCCCGTGGTCGGAGGCCTGGACACGCACCTTTGGTGACTGCGAACTTGCTTCGGAGCGCGTTGGGCGGCCTGGGCGGACCTGGGGCTCGCGGATCGAAAGCCAGTGTCTTCGAACGCCTAGGTGCCAGCGGTGCAGCTCCGGAGGCGGCGCCCGCTCGTGTGTCGGCGCTGCAGCGGCTGGAAGGTGCGTTGCGCAGCAGCAGCCGGAATGTATTATCTTTTGGCTAGTTACGGGCTGCAGATGATCGCATGAGGCCAGTTTTGAACGCGATGATTTCAATGTAGAAATCTGGCGCAAGTCCTTCATCGCGTAGTGTAGGTTGCGGGCGCAGAACCCACATTGGATGCGTTACTTTGTTTCGTCCTCTCGCACCATTGAGATAGTCGTGTATGTGCATAGCAGTTGCGCACACCGCTACTTCGCCTGTCCGTTTCCCTGTGAGCCCGAGTTAACTGAGGGCGTTTGCCTTCCCTGATTGAGCTGCCGTGCTTTGCAGGTTCGGATAAGGTGGATAGAGCAATGGACACGTCGGGTTCAGGCAGGAAGCGCGGTCCAGAGGGGGAGGCGGATGCAGATGCGGCAATACTGGGTTCCCCTCCCAAAACGGCCCGAGGGATCAATGCGCAGAAGCCTAGCGGGCCGCTGCGCGCGGCCGCTGAGCCACCTCCAGCACCTGCCCTCAGGGCGGGCCCAGCCTCTGGCAGGCCGAGGGTGGAGTTTGCGCCGGCGACGGCTCCTGTAGGCGTCACCAAGCAGCCCGCTGGACCACCGAAGCAGGATCCGGTCAAGGTTACTTCCGCCAGCGACCAGGCCACAATCGAGGGGGGTCCGTCCAGCAAGCAAACCGCGGCAGCAGCTGCTCCTGTGTCTGGCACCGCGGGGCCCGTGGATACCCAGGCAGCTGAATTGGAGGCCCTGCGGAAGCAGATGGCGGCGATGCAGGAGAAGCTCGCGCGAATGGAAGCGGCAAGGGATGTTTCCCCGCCGCCTCAACCGCAGTTGCAGCCCCAACCACAGGCACAGGGACAACCGCAACCGCCTCAACAGCCGCAGCAACAGCCGCATCCACAAGCGCAGCTGCATTCGCAGCCACAGCAGCAGCCCTTTCAGCTACAGCCTAACCTGCGGTTGCAACCCCAACAGCAGCAGTCTCTGGTACGCCCCCAGTCACTGCCTGCTTCACAACCAGAACCGGCCATTGCACAACAGCAGCAGCAGGGTATTCAACCGCAGCAGATACCCATGGCTACCCGGCCCCAGCCTCAGCACGTTTCCGTTCCATCTGCTACGACAGTGGGCATCCGACCGGTGGCAGGTGTTTCGGTGGCCGGGGGGGTCAAGGGGCCGGGAGCCGGTGGCACCGGCGCGGCAACAATCATGCCCACGTCCATGTCGGGTGTGGTCATTGAAGGTGGGTCTGGCTCACCGCCTCGAAAGCCAGTGATTCAGCAATCGGTACCACCAACGAAACCGGACCCCCAGCGCCTTGCGGCAGCGCAGCTGGACGCGGATTTGCGAAGCGTTGTGGTGACGAACGTGCACTTTCTGGCGAGTCAGGAGGTCTTGGCCGCGCATTTCAGGTGGGAGATGCTGGGGGGGGGTGATAAGGCACATGTTCTTCTGGGGCCTATCTGCATTATGAAACTTGATTGTATGGAAGGTTATTTACCGAGATAGGTATCGAGTTTTTTATTTTCTTGAGTATGTCTATTGACGTGTTTTGCCCTGCGCTTCAATGACTTGATGATAGGTGCACTGAAATAAGTGGCTGAATCTGGCGTATCCCACATCCTGCAGTGTTGTCGGACCGGTGAAGAACGTCACCATCATGCGCGACAAGGTGACCGGACGACCCACGGGAGTAGCAGTCGTGGAGATGGCGACCGAGCAGGCCACGCAGGCCGCCGCGGCTCTGTCGGGATCTTTGCTGATGGACCTGCCCATTGTTGTGACCCTCAAAGCAGCACTTCTGCTGCAGGGCATAAATTTAGCTGGCATGGGAATTGATTCGGCTGGTGTTAGGATGCCAGTGCTAATGCCACCGCTAGGTAGTGCGGCAAACATAGCGCCCGCGGGCCGTCTTAACCCAAGTGCGGTACCGTTTGTGCCTGGGCTGCCGGCTTCAGCGCCGGCACCAGCAGATGCTAGGCTGGCTGGAGGGCCCTCGGGTGCAGTGGGGGGGATTCCGGTAAGGCCGCCGCTAGGAGCTCCAGCAAGCGCAGGTCGGCAATCATGGCCGAAGCTGGGCGCAGGTGGCCGTGGTCGGGGTTCGAATGTATGGTTGCGCGAGGGAGCGCGGCCAGGGAATGCCATCGGCCCTAGCACAGCGGAACGCAGTTGATGGATGTGCAGTATGGCGGTTTGTGCAGGGATTGGAGGCAAGAGAGCTTGTAACGGGAGTCAGATGAATTGCATATCATGAAGCTAGATTAGTTACATAACCGCAGCACAAGAGAGCACCAGTGCCAGCAACAAGCCCAACTGCGCAGCCCGCGACATACAGCCTGTGCCAAGGCGAAGAACATATGGATATTTGGCACCTCCTGCCTACGTTGGATAAACTTCCATCATTCCCGCCAGGAACTCTACGCTTAAGCTCGTTGTGCTCATCATGGCAGGCTCCTTCCCACTGCCCTAATGGTGGTGAGCCTTGCCGTGCGCCTTAGCGTACAGCTCATCAAGAGCTGGAGGAACGTCCGTCATATGCGGCACCTGGAAGGACAGCCCTGAAGTCGGAAGAAAGCGACGACATCAAGCCCAAGACACCAACACTTTCGGTGAACATACCTTGGGAAATGCCGTTGGGTGACGGTCGGGATGTTGAAGGTAGATCACAGGCGTAGCGTTGTACTCAGCGGTGGTAATCTCCTTCGTCCCGGACGCGGGCCGTCCCGTGACGAATTGCAAGTAGAGCACGCCACCCACAAGGGCAGCAAACCCGGTTGGGAAGCTAAAGTTAGCCCTGGTAAAGTATGCGGAGTAGCTCATGTTGGTGACTGCGGGCAAGTTACCCTGCAAGCGATAGGATGGAAAGCCCGCAGCCTACCCTAATATCTATTACACATGAAGCATACAAAATCTTAGCATCCGGTCCAACAGTTTTGGCCGTTCGCTGCACGACTTGTCCTGCAACGAGTTTTGATTGGCGCCACGCCCATGCAAAGCTTTTCATCAACAACGCTGATCACTATTTACATGATTTCTGGGTGCATGTAGATGAGGGAAGTAGCCTTTTACCTAACCTTTTCGGACATAAAGCAGTGAACCTAAACGTACGTTCTGCAGCGAGTCCTTGGTGACTGAATCCGGTGCAATAGACTTCCGGTCATAGCATTTTGGCACCACAAGTGACATATGTAGAGGCCGACTGTCCTTGCTCCGCGACTGGACGGCATTAATGCATGTGGTGAAAGAGCGCCAATAGTTAACACCCTGTACACTAGAAACTCACTGGTATCCTTTCAGCTGTTGGAAATGGATTCAACCTCAACAACATCGATGCTGCTTGATAGTACCAGGCCGGTCACAAATGGCAGAGGCGGAAGCGTGTGTACAGATACCGATGTGGGCAGCGACATGACAAGCGACATTACATCTGGGGCAGCATTTAGCCATGGGTCTCTTGCGGACTACCAGGTATATCAAGCGGCTTACCCCTGCTTTGCACCCCGGCGTAACCTCGGGTACCATCGGAACCTCACCGCTTCCTTTTCCCGTCGACAGTTGGACCGCTTGCTCGGGCGCGGCAAGTACTCGCAGGTTTACCTTGCAAAGGACATTCGAACAGGGGAACTGGTAGCGATTAAACGGGTGAGATTGCGTGGGCCGTGTGGCACGCGGGGTTGGCAATACGCGTATATGAGCGTTTGTGTCCTGGCTAAGCAGCCCACCTGGCCCAACCAGAATACGCCACCGGCACCTTTCCATGCTCGATTTGCTGCTGCTGCACCTGTTCTTCAGAGTCATGGAGTGTTTCTCCTCCTGCACGGGAATTTATGACAGAGACCGGCATGGACCCCCTTCCCCCTATTGGTGACAAGTACTCACAAGCACACAGCTTAACGCACAGAAGCACTTTTGCTTAGATAGCATCGTCTGCATAACCCAAGGCGCGTGATTTCGGCAGTGGCGGTCAAACAAAACCCCAGGCGCTGCCTTGTGGTGTACGCACAGCGTAGAGCAGCTTTCCGCCTCCTGCTGTAATCGCCGCCATCTTCCGGTGTGTTGTCCTCGTTAATGCCGTTGTTGGGTTGGGCCGCCAAGGCGGTATTGTTGAGCCCGGCGGGACGTCCTGGAGTACTCCTGCAAGGAGAGCGGTGGAGGGAGGACTGGAAGCCTGAGTACTTGCCACGGTTGCGGATCTACCGCCTTAGTGCCACGACCTGCGGGGTTGTAATACTTTTCTCCCACAATGGTTGTCAGCGTTATGACGTTCAAAACCCAGTCGCCGCCGCCTGCTGATCCCTTTCGCCTTGCAGGTGGAGATCTTTGACATGATGGACCAGGCCAGCCGCCAGGCGTGTGTGAAGGAGGTCAAGATCCTGCAGAACGTGGAGCACCCCCACATCGTCAAGTGCTTTAGGTCCTTCCTGTCCAATGAAAACAACGAGCTCGTCATCGTGTTGGAGTGGGCGGAGGGGGGAGATCTAGGCCACGTCATTAAGCAGCGCCAGGAGATGGGCCAAGCATTCAGTCCCGAGCAGGTGTGGGTGCAATTCCAACAGGTAAGCCAGGAGGGGAGGGGAGGGGAGGGGAGGGGAGGGGTTCTGGGAAGAAGCGCGGCCTTAGTGGCGCCAGTCACGCTAGAGGACTGCACCGTAAGGAGAGTGTCGCCCCAAAGGTTTTACCCCAAATGTTACCCCGGCATTTGGTGCCGCCAAAACAGCTGTTGGATACTGTTTTCACTGGAAGGCGCCCCTACGGCCTTGCGGGTACCCTGACACGTAGGCGGCATGACTGGACTGCCGGTGCGTTTCGCGATCACGGCTGTCTAGGGGATCTTGATGCTGGTGGTTCATGTAGGCAACCGCGCTGGCCTGGGGGGACCTACCATGTGATGATGCCCGCCTGCTGAATTGCGATTGTCGCGGGGGGTCCTGTTCTTTAGGGCTCCTTAGGGGCCCTGCTGCCGGGCAGCTTCCTCCCATCTGTAACCCTCTCAGCCACGCGCCCTCAGTAGTGTACGTTGATGATCTCTCGTCATCAACGGGGATGGTCTTGTCTTTCCATCCCTGGCTGACGGGGATAGGTTTATGTTATTTTTTGGGGGGGTGGGGATGAGGAATGTGGTTGGCTCTGACAGCGGATGATGCGTGTGCGGTGGCGGCTCCCGCTCAGGTCTGCGGCGCGCTGAAGCACATGCACGACCGGCGCATGATGCACCGCGACTTGAAGCCCTCGAACATCTTTGTGACGGCCTCTGGGGACCTCAAATTGGGGGACCTGGGGCTCAGCAGGTACTTCAGTAGCAGGACACTGCAGGTGGGTGGCTGACTGGGTGGCTGACTGGGTGGCTGACTGGGTGGCTGACTGGGTGGCTGACTGGGTGGCTGACTGGGTGGCTGACTGGGGAGGGAACGGCCGATCCACGTATCGGTATCGGTTGCCCCCGCAGAGGCGGAAGGTGCTGCTCCGCCCTACCGCTACAGGAGGGGTAGCCATTAAATGCTGGGTAGGGCACTGAGAGCTGAGCAAGGCGCAGCCGCACAGACAGAGGAAACGCGGCGATTGGCGAAACCCTAGGGTGCCAACGAAGTCTCTCTCTCCCTCACCCCGCGATCTCTCACTCCGCACCGCACTGCGCCCATTTTTCTCCCGGGACACCGATGACCAACCCCGCATCCCTCCTGGCGCTCTCCGCCGTTCCATGCCCCAGGCGCAAACGACGGTAGGCACGCCGTACTACATGTCGCCGGTGAGGGGTAACTCAACAGGGTCCGGGGTCCAGAGCTCTCAGGCAGCGCTACGTGTGTTTCTGTATGTCTCAATGTGCGGCCCTAAGTGAACCGCTAGGAGCTTTGCTTTGATCTCGGCGGCCACAACACCACTGCTGCTGCAGGGGTATGGGATTGTGAACGCTGCGTGCTGCTCGTCCAAGAGCCCGGGAAAAAAAAGGGGGAGGGAGGGGGGGACCGCTCGCTGTGCAGCCCGAGCCACGTTGCTTCTCTACACAGCGGCATATGCATATGTTTTCGGTCCCATGGATTTGTGTTGATGATAATGGGCTTGCTGCATGCTGACGATTATGTGACTGCATGTGCTATGTCGTTGTTCTCCCCCCCCCCGGGCAGGAGGTGGTTCGCGGGCAGCCCTATGACTTCAGCTCCGACATTTGGAGCCTGGGCTGTTTGCTGTACGAGCTCATTGCGCTCCGAAACCCCTTTTACAAGGTAAAAACATGGAGAACCGAACAGGCGTTGCCAAAGCTAAATGAATGTCATTAACGGGGGAATAAGGCTATTACATAGCAGGCTATGTGCGAGTGTGCGCGTTTTTACTAATCTGAGCAGCGAGGCCGCGGGGAAATCGCATGAGGAGGACGGCGCAAGGAGGAGGCAGCTTTTACAGAGCGCCATGTGTTTTTGAGCCTGCTGGGAAAAATCTCCGCTGCGAGCGGTCACGGGCGCACGGCTCCGCGAGTGCGGTGGGGAGGCGGGGGGCGCTGTTGAGGGGGTTCACTGAGCTGTTTTTCGCTTCTTTGACTCCTCCCTCCTCGGGATGTGACACCGTGTGGTCATATGGCATGATGGGGCGGCTGCCTGCCCGGCAAGCAACCGATGAGGAGACCGCCATGTCGGGTCCAATAACCCGATTTAACGGAGATTCGTCTCCCTAGCCATACCCTAGGATGCAGTTCCGGGAAGAAATGTACCGCCTCCAGCAACCCTTCCTTTCCCATTGCTTCCTGTTGCAATCCCTCCCCCGTCCCGTTTTGTCCCATTCTTCTGGCTCGGCGCAGGAGAATCAGAGTCTGTACGTACTGGGCAAGCTAATACAGAACTGCCAATACGAAGCGCTACCGCCTTCTGTACCGGACGAGCTGCGGCAGCTGGTGTCCAGCATGCTACAGCCGCTGCCGCAGTCCCGACCCACCATCGCGCAATTGGCTGCCTACGTCAATAGCTACCTAGCCCAAAAGCTGCCACACACGCAGCAGCACCTCCAACAGCAGTACGGTCATCACAACCACAATCACCACCACCACCACCACCACCTTTACATGCAGCCGCAGTGGAGTCCGGGGCCCCCCGCCGCGGTGGCGGGAGGAGGGGCCGGGGGCGGGGGCAGCAGCAGCAGCACAGGTGGGGCTCGACAGTGCTCAGCAGTGGGGATAGGGCATGGAGGCGTCGGCGGCGGTGGTGGAGGGGGAGGGGGAGGAGGCGGTGTGTCGTCATCTTCCGGTGGAGCTGGCAGTGGCATTGCTGCCGGTGGCGGCGGCGGGGATTTGGACCTCGGCATTACGGGACACAGCATCTGCTTGGCCGGTAGAGGCCTCAACTCCACCTTGCCTCGGTGAAAGATGAGCCGTGCGGGGTGAGGTGAGGTGAGGTTAGGCGAGGTTAGGCGCTGGCTGGCCTGGAGGGAACGGTGCTGAGCTGAGGACGAGAGCTACACGTCTACACTGCGCCGTGGGACCGTCTTCCGTCGGGCAGCGGCGCAGCTTCGGTCGCCCCCACGAGCCCACACCCCGTGGCTCCCCGTGGGTGGCGGCAGCGGCTGACGGCGTAGGTTGGTAGATGTGTGGGGGGGGTTTGAACCTCCCGGACGAAGCTCCGTCCGCGTAGAGATCCCCTTAGCTTGGTGAGCTGCTGTGGTGTGGTGTGGTGTGGTGTGGTGCGACCGGCGAGGGGGGGCGGGCAGCGGCGAGGTTGCGAGCGAGGGCTGCAGGCTGCAGGGGGCCCGGCTACCCCAGGGGGGGGTTACCACCCCGCCCGAGAGCACCGCTGCGGATCCCACCCAGGGCGAGACCAGAATGGCCCCTCAAGCGCCAGTGCACTTGTGGGTGGGGGCGAGGGGGTTTACGTGTACTGCCGTACTGACCGCTGCAACCAGCGGACGGGGGGGGTTGGAGTACGCACTGGAGGAGAAAAGAGAGAGGGGGGCCTGCAGAAGAGTGAGAGGGCGTGTGTGGTGCGCATGGCTAGCTGGAGGAGGGTGTCTCGCGCAGCGTTGGCGGATGGCAGGGGACGGGTTAGGACAGGCGTCTGAGTGGCGGGAGGGAGGTCCGAGGGGGGGACTGCGGCCGCCACCGCGTGCGGGGGGGGGCGGGTTGAGGTCCACGGTGGAACGCGGAGGGTGTGGTAGGGGGCGGGGGATGGGGGAGGAGGGAGGGACGGTCGCGAAGGTGACGCCGCCGAAAGGGTGGCCGTACATGGAAGCGCACAGCTGCAGTGAGGGGGCGGGGCGGGGCCTATTTCGTGCAGCTGAGGGAACCCCCGGACACACACATGCATACACACACACGCATACACACACATCTCCAGCACTCGCGCCTTTCTGCTCTCGGGTCACGCCGGAGCCCCACCCACATGCCGATGTGTCCATTTTATTGGATGAATCGCCCTCCCGCTGCGATGGTCTGTTGGGGTTCCTCTCCTCCTCAGAGGGGGGTTGATGATGTGCTTGCAGCTGCCTGACTCTGTGTGACTCTGTTTATGGTGTGTCCGGGTACAGGTAGGTTAACCCGTTGCCACTGGCCTGGCTGTCCCCACTACCACTACCCTCCCGGAGGTTTCGGGACACCTTCGGGCATACATACTTGTCATCCATACATTATGCCGACGTGTGCGATGTCAGTGACGTTTTGGGGCTCAGCACCACAACCACCACAACCACCACAACCACAACCACCAGCATCATTCAGTGGAATATGCCGCCGGATCGACGGCGGCGTCCTCCAACTTCACTCCCCCCCCTGGCGGTCGGCTCTCAGGTCTCTGGCTATAACCTATCTGGCCCATCTCACCGTCCATCGGCATGGGGGTGCATCCACCCTCTTACGGTCGAGGAATTGTTATCCTATCCTAGGTCGGGATTAATCCTGGGACCGTCTGGGACTGTATGTATGATGTGTGGGACAGGGGGGTGTATCTTCGCCCGTGGCAGCTACCCTGCGAAACCCTGCCTTCCCCGGTATTTCGGGGCACCCTCATCCAGTCACCCTGGTCAACTTCTCAGTGGATCGCTCAGGTTCCGCACCCACCACCGGAATTTACCGAATCGACGGCGGCTCAAGTCCATTCCTGGTCGGCTCGCAAGTTAACTTTATCCCAGGTCACCACTGTCCATCGACTAGGGGCACTTTACCTTCCACCATCGGAAGGATTTTCGACCCCCCTGACAGGTCTCTACCAGTAGTGCCTGAATGTATGTATGTATGTGTGCTACACTTTGAGCTGCGTTACTGTCCGAAGGCATATGCATGCGTGGTAGGGCATGGCAAGCAAAAGTGGAAAGGAGCCGACCTGGTCAGCGGCGGCGGTGGCGGCGGGGGGGGGGGCCGCCTGATTGAGGTTGGGCTTGGGGCTGTTGCAGGAAGAGTGGAGATATGGAGATGGGATTTGGGCTGTATTTGGTTTGATGGGTGCTGGATGCCGGGGTGTATGTGGGGTGAATGTGGAGTGCGGAGTGCAGGGGAAATGGGCCATGGGTAGGGGGGGAAGGAGAGCTGAGGGTCACCGTGTTTCAAGTCTTCATGTGTATTTGCATGTGGTGTGCTTAGGTGCACCAGCTATAAGCAATGAGAGCGGGTGGACAAGTACAAGTACGCCTAACGCTAGGAGGCAGGGGGGGCAGGTGCTTCAGCCGTTGGCTTTGTACAAGTTAGTACGTATTTTGTTGCGACACATCGGATTCGACATCAAATAATAGGATGGATGAGGGATGGGGGGGGTAGCGGTTGATGTGTTTTTTTGCCGCGGGCTGCATGTGTGTGTAACAAAGTGACTGAATCGCGGTGTTTAGGTGTGTTGGTGTGTTGTTGTTGTTGTTTCATTTCAGGATAGCGGCGGCAGCGGGTAGGTCGCAGCGGCGGACTGTCTGTCGTGGAGTACGGAAGCAACAACGGATGGCAGTGTGCGGTACGAATTGGCCCCTGCTGCTGCATGACGGGATGGGCCCCTGCTGTCAAGGACGCACTCGCGCAGACCGCGGAGCCAAACAAGATCATGCTCCTATTGTGCTCTCTAGGTGTGTAGGAAGGATGAGCACAGCTTCCCATGTGCTGCACACCCTCCTTGTGCTGAGGCGGCGGCGGCGGTGCGGAGGAGGAGGAGGAGGAGAGACAGAGGAGGAAGGAGGGGGCCGTAGTGCATCGCTAGCAGTTCCAGAGGATGCTGCATGAGGAAAGGTGGTGGCTGTAAAGTGTGACCAGCGTGAGGCGAGCGTCTTGTTGCTTCTGCTATTACAGAAAAAATAATGCATTAGGTATCTTTCTGTGTGTTCATGTGTGTCCACATTTTTGCGTGATGCGTGTTATATTTGAGACAACCTCGTCAGACCTCTGCCGGCCTTCAACCCCACGTCCACGTGTACCGACATCCGCCCTACACGCACGTGTGATTGGAGGGCGCCAGACAGCCCTTCCTTCCCTCGCGCGGTGCACGTATTCTCCTCCCCTTGCCTCGGCGGCAGAGATTCGGACGGACGTACATACATACGCTCATACATACATGTGCCTTTCCTGGGACAGAGGATGTGCCGCCGCGGGGGGGGGCAGCGTGCGGTGTGTTTAGACCCAGCTTCGTTGTTGGGGCCGCATCCGTGGTGAGGTTTTTGCATCTTGACTTCTCGCAGCTCACACATACATACATGCCATACATACATACGCACGGACGCACGCACATACATACGTACATAGGGAATGTTTAGACAGCTCCTGTGCCGCTGTGGTGCCACTCCATATAAGCACGGACGGCCGGTTACCGAACAAGCGTCCAAATATCAAGAATTAGCGCTGCGACATACACAACTATGCCGAATAAGGGTGAGCGCGCGATGCTACGGCTGTACGGCTCGTTCGCTGAGGAACATTCCGCGATCCATTGTACGACATTCGTTCCCCCTTCCATCAATAAATTCAATACGACTGTATTAATAAGTGCGCTGTATTTAATATGGTTTGCACGGCCACTGTCGGTATGAGCCAAGCAGTAATGCACATCCACCTGTATAGCTCCGCAGCAACCATTCGTGAAGAATAGTTGGGGCAGTTTCCCCCCGCATTTGGGGCATTTCCCCCCCCCCGGCCACCTAAAGTTCATTACTGTCCCTCCAGACTCGCTTGCATAGTGATAGCAAACCTGTGCAGCGACAGACGAAAAAAACTTCTGCTCGTGTGCATTTGATGCGCGCACAGTGCCGAAGAGATAGCGATCAGATTCGTGGTCACGGCATCCGGGGCACACACTGTGTGCGACGCCGTTCTCTTACCTTGACACAGACAGCAGCAGTAACCTATGCATCGATAAATTAGCGGCCGTACAGTGTCACACTGCACACTGCATAAGCCACCGGGAAAGATGCATTGATAGCTTCACCATGCCCTGTCCAAACGGGGGCCTGCCATGCTCTGCACCACACCACACCACACAAGACCACACCGACATGCTGGCGAGAAGCCGCCCCCTCCCTCCCCTCCCTCCCCGCCTCATGACCGTGCCACTGTCTAGTTCCCGTCCGGGGGATCGCCATCCCAGGAAGCACATTTGGAGCGCTCTTCTGCCACAGATGGACATCGCCAGAAACAGTGGCAGCCCTCCGCCCCCGCCGCTGGTCCCTTAAGGCGCCGAAACCAAATCCACCTCACAACACTCCAAAACACACTCAACAAAACTGAGACACATGTTCACTCAACCCATTCGCACTCTTCATCAGGGGAAAGGATACCGAACAGTTTCCCCCGCCCCAGCGCCGCATCAACTCACCCACTCAACACACACCGCAGATGGCGGCTATACACATCTTCAGCTGGCCCCCCAAACCCCCAGACAGTAATCCCAGGAGCAGAGCCTCCGCGACTGCTCTCACAGCGGCCACCACCACCACCAACAACAACAAACAATAACAACAACAATAACAGCAACAACAAAAAACAGCATTGACATCCACAGAACCCGCTGTGAAGAAACAGGCTCCGACTGGATCAACGAAAGGTGCCGTGGAAAAATCCTCTTAGTGGTGAACGGGACTGCACCACACATCGCCGTGCACAGCCGTCCGCTGGAAGACATTCCCCCCATATAGCCCCGGGGAGAGGAGCATCGGACTGCAGACGTAACGTCCCCTAGAGGACTGGCACCACCTCGCCCAACAAGTCGCTGCTGCTAATGCGGGCAGAGGCTCGTGAAAGGGCGAGAGGAGAAAGGGAGACGATATAGACAGGAAGAGGAAGAAACGGGAAAGAGGGAGAGAGAGAGAAGGGGGGTAAGAGAGGGGAGCAAATGAAAGACTCGAGGCTCCGTTCGTGACACCCGGTGAGAAGGCACGCCGCAGTGCACTTCACTGCATTGGGCCATCACCACCACCACCCGACACCAGCTCATCGCACCTCGAGAGCATGAATGAAAAAACAGCGACAGCAGCAGCAACAGCAGCAGCCGTAGCACTGAACACCCTGCAGCAGTGCACCGAACGGCCAAGGGGGTTGCGGGGAGCGCCGCAAAGCCCCGAAGTAGTTGCAACCCCCAACATGTGTGTACGGACATGATACGGGATTTCCGTGCCATGTGCACGTGCGGTGGTTTTCAGCAACGGCACCTGCACACACACACACACACATAGCGGGGTACCTGCACGCGGTGAAGCCATGTGGCCTCATCCGGGGGGAGCAAAAGCCCCAACAACGCGTGGAGCTCCTCCCACCCGCCCGCCGCCGGCCCTGAAAATCATGTACACATCTATGTATGTATGTATGTATGTATGTATGTATGTATGTATGTATGTATGTATGTATGTATGCATGCATGCAAGACACTGCGGTAAAACGGCCATGCTTCGGTTTAGCAAAAGAAACTGCAGCTCGCCAGGTCACAACCGCCAACGTCAAAATTTCCACAACCTCAACAGACATCATCCGTGCCGCGATATCGCCGTGCGGGGCCCCCGGCGTAAAGCAGCGAGGTGCCTCAACCTCAACCGTGTGCATAAGTTATGTATGTATGTATGTATGCTTGCCGGGAATCCACGAACCGCTTATTTTATACTTAGGCACCGATGCTCATCTCAGCGTCTTTCCCCCTCCGCTCCAATTTCCGGTGTCTGCTTCACTCGCCAGTGGTTTGTCCGTCTCACCCCGTCCCCCCGATCCCACGTCCAAGAGCAAGACATGGGGACAGCAACTGCAGGGGACAGCAACGAACAAAACCGTCACTCGTGCTGCCAGCCCCGGACCCGGAGCAGCTCGCCAGGGTGATCAACCAAACTCCATCCAACCGCACGTCCAACCTCAACGTCGTACAGCCGTCCGGCAACGCCACCCCAAGAGGATCTCCGGCACCCATCCCCCTCCCAAGAGACGCCTTCCAGCCCCCGAGCCCCGACCACACCTCTCTCCAGCCCCTACTGTCCCATCCTCAAGGGGGGGGGCATCACCGCGTGCACCGCCGCCGCCGCGACCACCATGACGCGGCGGCAAAACACCTCTCTGAGTTCCCTTACCTCCCCCTCCCCCTCCCCCTCCCCCTCCCC